CGAGTTCATTCGCACAGAAATCAAATAAAACATTAAAAAGTAAAAAACCATCAGTTCATTCGCTTGTAAGGAAAAGGAAAAAATATGGCACACACATGACTCACCCGCCTTTGCAAGCACAGTAGGCAGAGTAAATGCTTCCAGTATATTGAAGAACGATAAAACCCCAGTAGAAGTCTTTTCCATCTTCGGTTTTGGACCTTTCAGTAGGTTTTACTTTGAACTGGAAATAACAGTATCCATCCTTTTTACCTGTCTCGTCATCACTTAAATCGTGGTAGTTCAGATCCTCCACATGCCCGTCTACAAACAAGCGAAAACCCTCGAGACTTTTGTACGAACGTAAACAGTCTTCATCGTAGCCATCTTTTCCAACAAGATAATGGTAAATATCAGGAAACCTGAAGTCTGGAACACCAGTAAAGTCATGAGTCCAATCCTTGAGCGAAAGTGGATAGGGAAGTAATTTTCCTCCTGGCAGTGTTATCTTGGAATTAATTAACTCATCGCGTTTCGTTGATTCCTCTTTAGTTTTTGGAACTTTTATTTCCGCTGCATTCTTACATAGCTCCAGTAGTTCCACTCTTCTCCTACTCTTACCTTAAATAGAAATTTGAATATCTCTTTCTCTTAAAAACTTTTGAAGCTCAGATACTTTCATATCGGCAAAGTTGGCATTGTTCGCTGCCATGCTGTGACGACTTCTATTCTCCTCAGCCTCGTCTTGGTGCTAAAAACTAATTACCAGACTTTCTCGCACTAACAATTCGAAACTAGCCCATTGAGACGCGACCGGGACTTTCATCGAAGAAAGGCAGTATCCTCAAACTCTCAGAGTCATTGTGGAGTGTATCGCAAGTTGAGAAATTTGGCTAGTCGGGAAGATAGATCTCTCAAATCACAGTATTACTGTAAGCTAATTGAAGATGCTAAGAATGACAGCTCTTCGATGTGGAAGCACAGGGGGCCCATACAATCTGTGTAGCCGACTGTTGTTTTATGGTGAATGTACCAGATTTACCGTTTGCCTCACCTATAGTGCTATATTGCTGACTATGTACGGGTATGTAGAAAACGAAGACCTAAGACCCAAAAACGAAGACCCCCCTCACAATCACTCATAAACATCTAGAGACGGGTATCTCGGGCTCAAATGAGTAACGAACACAAGATCTTCAATAGGCTCCTTGCACCAAGAAGTCACGTGATCTTTTCCGCCAAGTTGGAGGGCAAACAAATCGGTCGCTACGGGAAACAATGGCTGCCTTGTGAGACGACGAAAGGTGAGTGACCCAAATATTTGCTCTACTTGCTTCTTTGTTTCGGAACAAAACGATCTTTATCCACTAGGAACTCTCAAAAAGAGCGACTGTAATAGTTGCAGACCTACTGATGTATTTGATTTGTCGGAAAGCTCCATATTTGCTCGTGTTTTCGCGTTCGTATAATCCGCACTTTGCGAACTGGTATGTCTATCTTTTTTTTTTAACTCCCTTTCAACGCCGGTTTTGTCTATTTTTTAAGTTGATATTGTTAGGCGATGATAGTCGAGTCAATGTAGTTTCCAGAATGGTAGCGAATAAAACATTTCTGAGTGAAGGTGAGAAAAAATAAGTTTGTTTACTTGTATCCTCACTATATACTGGTTCTATTTCAGATAAAGAGATCACAGAGTGTTGTGGAATTTTAGATCTTTTGGAGCCTAATAATAGTGTGATGGCTGATAAGGGTTTTAATATTGATGATCTATTATGTAGTAAAGGGGTAAAGCTAAACCTTCCACCATATCTTTTAAATCGTGCACAGTTTTCACCAGAGGAAGTCAAAGAAACAAAAACCATAGCCAAAGTCCGGATNGAGCATTGACAGATACTTTTAATGAAATCATAAAGGGAAAGGATTTTGGCCTAAATTGTTTGAGAAATAAAGCATAAAACTCAAAAGTCTTAATTAAGCATTCAGGAAATGTGTACAATTCTATAAAATAGGTCAGCGGATATCCTTTTGGTTTGTTGGACATGGTGAGGTTATCAATGAAAAATCTTGGTCCTCTTAGGGTAAAAATGTCTTGATATTGACTAGGGTAAATTTGGCAAGTATACAATTTCCTTTTCTTTTGTAAACCTCAATTATGAAGGAAGTGTAGTTGAGTTAATTAAATCTTGGGCACAATACATAACCTTGCAACTCTCTAGGTCTGTCTTTTGGGGTCAGAGTTCAAGCCGTTTGGTACTTTGATCACCTAGTTTTTCTATCTCTTTTCTAAGTTGTCTTTGTCTTTTCATTTCTGTTAACTTCGGAAAGCTCATTTATGTTGTGGCAATTAAAAATTGTTCATAATGCTTTTTTGGTCTCTGAGATAAAGGAACACTCTGATGACAGTTGTCTGTTCAAATAGGAATTTTTAAGCTGTGCATTGCCATATTATTTTATATCAAGAAAGTTGTAATGATGCATTGTTGTGATATGCAAATTTTTACAGTTTAAACTGGGTGGATTTGTTGCACCCAAATAACATCTTGTAAACATTCAGCTACTCAAAAAAGAAAATGTTAGTTGTTACTAAGAGGTTTAGTGGCATGTCATAAATAACTGAACCCTTTCACTGCGACCCACAACTGGCCAAGACTGAATTTCTCTTTAAATTATTAACATATTGTAAAGCAGACAAGTGAAATGAATGAATAAAAGTTTCAATTAGCAGATTACAAGTTGATCTAATACCTAGTTCTCCCAACTTAAATCATTAGAATTGTATAGCAGACAGCGAGGATTACTAATGAGATATAGGCTCTTTGCATGACTTAATCATGTGATCAACTTTCTGTAAACACATAAACAGTTCACTTCTGAAACATTTTGTTAATGCAAGTTGAAAGAGCGTAGTAAAATTAGGTAACCTGAGAATTTTCAGCTGTACATCTCTAAAGTTGCGCTCGTAATGCTCGCTGAAAGTTAGAAGCATTTGTATGAGAAAAACAACTTTTGCCGCCCAGTCACACTGACATGGTTTTCCATACAAATCCTTGTAATTTTGAAATTTTCAAAACTGTCATGAAATATTTCCCTTGGCATTACAGGGCTCAAATCTCCTTCTAATTAAAGACAGGCAATTTGAATTTTAACTTTTGAGATATATGGCTGAAATTCTTAGATTACCAAATTTTGATATGCTCTTTTAGCTTGTGCTCACAAAATTTTTCAAAAGTGAACTATTTTCTTGTTTACCAAATGTTAATCACGTGATTAGGTCATACAAAGAGCCTATTTACATAGAGAGGGTTAACAAAATAGGTGCATGTGAAAAAGAGACTCTTTATAAATTTAGTAGTGGACAGTTATTATGGTCTCATGGAAAATCATTCTCACTTAGCTTACAAGTCTTGGAAAGAATGTCATTTCACTAAAGTTTTAAGGTAGAGTTGTTAAGAGGAAGCCCCAAACGAGTGATTTTGAGGCTTCATGGCAGAAAAAACACTTCCAAACAAGTAATGAACTATTAATCTTTATTCGGAGCTGATTTTTTTCGAAGACTGACTACAAGGGACAGATTCTAGAGGCAATATATTTGAACTACATTCGTAACGGCTACGTAAATGCCACAGGAACCCATTACCATAGAAACCCGAAACCACGGATATTTAATTAAGATGGCAAACCTGTGGTTTTTCCTTATAAACATGTTTGCCCGTCTGCAATGAACGTATTCGCTGACAACTTCCAAGTGAGATTGCTTCGCAAGTTATAAGAACATCGTGCTAACCGTACGGTCAGCATTAGATTCCATCCACCAAAACCACCTCGGTCGAGAGGGACTGAGGTGGAACATTTAATAACTTGCAAATCATAACCAAAGATTCTCGGAAATCCGCGAGGAGACATTGCCGAAAACCCGAAGAACAAACCGAGAAACAATATGGCGGCAATTTTAAAGGGTGAACCTTTGCCTGATGGTAGAGATGCGGATAATTTTGGATACGTAGATTCTATTTATGTGGCGTATAAACTCATTGCAGAGTTCGAAACAGGATCGATGACGAAGTTTTCTTGCTTTAAGGCTGACAAAGGTTTCGGAAACACTGGCATGCCAATATATATTTCAAAGCGTTACGACGTGCTAGCTTGTATCACTCTCACCCTTGCACTACATATCACTCGAACAGAAGTCACAAAATACTCTGGGAAGATCCACAAGAAATCAAAGGTGCAAAAATTCCTTTTAATGCTGTGCCTATCATAATTTGGGAAGGAAAGTGTTCGATTGTCAGCACGGCAAAGATAGAAAAGCTGGAGAGAAAAGGAAACGAAAAGATGCAGAAGAGGTAAATGAAATATTGCACTGCACATACACATATTTTTCTTATCCGCGACATTGGTGTTACTACTGTCACCTATGGCTTGCTAACCCGAAAGGTCAGATACACATATCACTGCTGGGTAATATGACATTGATCTCAGAATACTTTTACGACAAACGCGATAACACTTCATTCTCGGCTAAATTGAAGATAGTTTAGAACTTACAAATTATAAAAACCTTTCACTGGCGTATGCTGCTGACAAAAGAGAAAATAAACGCAACCATTCTACGCTTTTTGATTCCTATCAAGCTGTTGTATGTCGGCTCCTTATCTTTCAAGGCATCACGCAATGACACTTCTTTTCGCATTCCATAAAATAGCTTGAGAAATGCACTATCACTCATCTTACGCTGATATACTTATCTTTTACAGAAGGTTGGTCACAAAGATTTCGTTTTCAAGAAAAGAAGATTTCTCGCTCAAGACACACGGAAGTTTGAGTGCAAAGCACAGATAAAAATGCGAGAAATTTCATTTTTTGCAGATCACAAGGTAGTTCCACTCATGTATTGACAGAACGTATTCGGTATCACTGTCCAAATTTCATGCTACACAGTCACCTTACTGACTGGAACGAAGATTCACGAAAGGTGGTCTCGTTCTTAGTTATTCAAGACACTTCGAGCTTCCTGGTGTTTTTCCTCTGTCTGGGACGTTAGTGTGGTCAAACAAAGCTAACGCACTGCCAGCACCAAGTTGTTTTTTTCATCCACATAAACGCGGTGAATCAATTTAAAACCCTCACAGAAAAGTTGAGTTGAAGCAGTGGGAAAAGCTTATTTGTGCACTGCATCAGAGGCATTCAGTTTACCGTTACAAGGCATCCATTTTTTTTCCTTCAAATGTATGATTTTTCGTCTTTCAGATTCAAGAAGACAGCAAAAAGAGACGGGAAACTGCGTCTAGAAATTTGCGAAAAGTTTTAGAAGAAGGGATCGCTAAGTGCGAAAGAAGGATTTACATTGAACTACCACTCATTACAGACCATCAGAATCACTTTGTTGGCGAGGTAACTTAGTGTTTAACACGAATTAATGCAACGGTCAATGAAAAAGAGTACGCGGCGGGCAAGCCAGTCAAAGTGTGACATAAAAGTGTCTGTACATTGTTCACCATGATTTTGTTGTCCTTGTTGTGATCAAAGTACAATTTCAAACATTCACACAGTACGAAAAAATGGCAAAGGAGAAAATAACTTATAGGTGTGCATTACTAGGGCGTTCCCACTTGAAATAGCTAGCATTTTCACAGTTCGAGTTTTTTATTTCTATAGGTCGCTGGCATACCGCAAACCCTTGAGATATTCTCCTTGAGATGAGAAGATCATCAAGAGGATCCACAAGCTCGTTTCGGAGGGAGTTAAGGAAATATATGAAAAGAGACGGCATTTGAAAATCTTTGTGAAAGAGGTCTTGTTTCGAGATGATCAGCAACCACAAGACACAAACCGATGATACTTCCCTGGGACATCTGACCTGCGCACGCACATGTATCGAGCTACGGCTAAAAACCGCACGTCAAGAATTGACCAGGCAAGTGTCCACATGAAGACAGATGAGTGGAGAAAAGTTTACAATGCTGATTCTTTTTTCTTTCGTCCCCACTCAGAACAAGTAAACACGCCTATGGAGGTTCCAGACTAGTCTGAGAACGAAAAAGAAGGTGATCACTGCAAAATGAGGCATTAGGGTTCTTATTTATAGCGTATTGTTTATGGTATATCTGTGATCTTTGCACCTCCTTGACGAGACATCCCTTGATTTTACCATACCGCTTTCTTTTTGTTGTTGTTATTGTTGTTGTTATAGATGAGTTGGATGAGGAAGTACGTCTCACTCAGGAGGGGGGAGAACAAGAGTGGGCAATCAACTCAAAGAGGAAATGGTAATGCCAAAATTGTAAAGACCACCGAATATTAAGACTTCAAAACAGTTTGGTTTTTATATCAAGAAATTAATGTTAGGAGTAGCTGCCAGTTATAGTTAGAGTTTTATCAAGTCCATTACGGAAATTTTTTTTTTCTAAAGATTTCTACATTGTACAGGTGGAAGAACAATATGGCACGTAGTCCCCTACTAGGTTCA